TATGCACAGAGCATAAAGTGTTCCAATATCTCAGCGGATGCCACAAAGAAGAGGGGGGTCAAGCTATTCTCCGAAGCACATAAAGGCAGGGCAAAAAGCAATGTGTGGAAACTAATCAAGGAGAGAAGTAACTTAGAACTGAGGAGAAATTTCCTGACAGAACAATTAACCAGTGGAACAACTTGCCTCCAGAAGTTGTGAATGCTCCAACACTGGAAGTTTCTAAGAAGATGTTGGATAACCATTTGTCTGAAGTGGTATAGGGTTTCCTGCCTATGCAGGGGGTTATACTAGAAGACCTCCAAGGTCCCTTCCAACTCTGCTATTGTAACATTTTATTTATTTATATAATATAATATTACTACTTGTAGGTTGGAAGCTAATGCTAGGATTAATTACCCAAAACACATGAGGTGTAGAAGATAATTTACATTAAATCATATGCTTCTTCCCAGATTTATTTTCAGGGAGGGGACGACAGGTGATAACAAAAGACATTTCTTTATTCATTCTTGATTCTTGATTCAGAATTGTATGCCACTTGAGTCCCCATGGATCTCAAAAACAAAACAAAAAAGACAAAAGTTAATTCATGACACTTCACAAAAAAAGTATCAGCAACCAAAGCCAAAATGAGGGAAAGTGAAAGAATGAGCTTCTTCGAAGTTGACTGTACAGTGCAACTATTTTATGCTAAGCTAGCAACTGGATTTTCAAGTTAGCTGAAATTCTGGTTCTTACAGCATAGGGGCGGGAGGTTTTTTTGGGGCGGGGCCGCGGGGGGGAAACGTAATTATGTCCATGTTTCAAGGCGAAGGGAGTGGTTATAATTAACGATGGAATGAAATATTCGCTGTGACAAAACAGGCTTTATGAAAAAAAATCCATACAAAGCATCCTAGAATCCAACTTTAGTTAGCACAAAGCTTGGAATCCCAAGTTTGCGCTTCATTGCCAAACTCTGCCCTAATAGGCTGAGGTGGAGAGATGGGCGGAGAAATCCTCCCGCCCTTCTTTCTCGCTCTTCGGAAACACTCGAGTCAATCGCGTGGGCGGTCTCCGCTTCGGCTCGCCCGAGTCTCTTGCGCCGTGGGCCAGTCCAAACTCGGTGCTATGTTTGATTCAAACGCGCTTTTCCATAGATTGGATAGAATCCTGCTCCTTGAAACCGCTTTGCAGCCAAACGGAATGAGGCGGGCGGAAAAGACTGTCGCCCTGCCGGTGTTTTTAATACATGCACACAGTTTTGGAGTGTGGCTGGAGAAGGGGAGGGAAGACGGTATGTCCCCTCTTGACAGGTGCTTGGAGGCGCGACTCGATTGCAAGACGGGGCGTGGGGAGATCGGTACCAATTGTCAAAGTGACTCCTCATCGCGTGAAGGGGCGGCAGACAATCTGGGTGATCTGGTGATCTTGCAACCCGCATTAAGCTAGCAGCTGCAGTTGAGAACTCGCGCAGAGGCTGAAGGTGGGGTTCCTTTCCTCCTCTAGAGATTGACCTGCTGCTTTGGGTTCATTGCAGGAGCATGGAATTCGGGGCAATCCATTTTCCTGTGCTTCTCTGTTGCATCTTTCTGTCTCTTTGGATGTCTACCAGCAGCTTCACACCTGGGTAGTGCAAAAGCTGAGGGAATGCTCCCCAAAAGCATGACTTGCGAGTTCTGAACATATAAAATCAAGTTGGGATGAGCAAAACTATTGGGGGTGGGTGGGAAGAGTTTTTAAAGGCTAAAATCTGAAAATGGCATTTATTCTGTGATATTGAGTTTGAAGGTGTTTCTGTATCTGGTAATCTCTGGTATTTCTGTTAGGAAAAAAACAAAGGTTTGACGAAGGAGGATGCTTTTCCCCCTGGATATTTACAGTTGATACATTTGAATTGTGCAAACACTCCCAGAATGGTTTCCATCATTGCAATTATATATTTTGTTATTTTCACTTTTTTAATAGTAAAACACAGAAACAACACTAGAAGACGAATAGAAATAATTTTGAAAATAATATATTGTGATCATACAGTTAATTTTGTTTTTTTTTAAAAAACCTCAATAAATAATAGTAAATAACCCCCTCCCATCCCCACCCCGCCAATAAGAGATCCCCTAAAAACTATTGACCATTGCAGTTATATTGGCTTGCTTGGAAAAAGAATTAATAGTGCTACATTGCATATTGTTGTAATAAGACAGCTTAGTGAGGCTGTGAGGTTCAAACGTCATATATCTAAACAAGAAAAAACAATAAGAGTAATAAAAGAAAATTCATACATGGGTGAGCATTATCTCTGTTCCTTGGATCTGTATCCTTTTTCCTTTAAATTTGACTTGCGGACTTAGGGTTTTGCCAACTAACTATGCTAATTCATCTTGGATAATGTGCTGATTTCGTTTTATTGTGGGCCTTGCAAATCAATGCTTATGCTGGGCCTTGCATATAACATGGAAAAATACCCTTATGGTTTGCCTTGTGGCATAAAGCATTCCAGAAGAAGGGGGGGATTCTGGCAGTGAGCAACAAATCATGTGACTTACCCTTACTGGTTGAATATTATTTCCCTTCCTCCAGCACAACCAACCAGTGGTTAAGTGGCAGCAGGAGGCAAGAAAGCCAATTTTCCAGCAACCTGAAAGATTAGAACACGATAGTGGAACTGTGCACAATCTATGGGTATCTGGGAATTATTTGACTATGCAAGAAAAGGAAACAGGGAACATAAATAAAGGTGAAATAGTATGGGAAAGTAGTCATAGAAGCAGTCAGGAATGGGCATGCCTGTGTGTGTGTGTGTGTGTGTGTGTGTGTGTGTGTGTGTGTGTGTTAAAGTACAACACATGAAACAATTGTGTTGCCTTTGGGAGAAACTGGGATTTCTGTTCTTACAAATGCATTTTGTGGAAAGCTAAGCTCTAAAAATGATGGTGGAGACAAGAACTCAGCAGTGGCCAAATGGAGCATGATAAGAAAGTCCACTACTCCAGTTTTTTTTTTTTTACGCTCTCCATTGCATGGCATAAAGGGCAACTAAAGATAGGCAGTCAGGGAGAGAACCGTACAAATGAGCTGGATGTCCAAATGTCCTCTTATCTCACTGCCCAGTTTTTCTGGGAAATAGGTTTGGGAGACTCATACAGTGTCTGAAGACGGGTTGGGGCTTTCTCTTGCTGTTCCTTCTTTGGACCCAAATGAAAGGTAGAGTCTATATTCCAATGTAGTTATATTTGTACACTCTCTATCTTACAGGATTACTGACTATGTTCATTCCTAAAGAACTATCATTCAGGTGCCATCTGCACAGCAAGTTAAAAAAGGCAAAATTGTGAGCAAGACAATGCAATTACGCTTTTGGTGTTAGACATCTGTTAGACAGCCTGTTCATTAACTAAAGAAGACAATTATAGCTTCTGATATGGTAAAGCTTTAAATTTAAGCTTAGGAATATTTACTTGAATGTTATACCAAACAAAACATTGATTTTCAATCCTTTCCCACCCCCCCTTCAGATACTCGATATGAGTGAAGCCCATCTATGCAAATCTGCTGTTATTTCTAATAACAATTTATTATTTAGTTTATTGTTTCTTGGTTCTCTATAAGAGTCACTGTTATTTAAAATCTGAGATAATATTCAATAATATTCAACATTAAAGTGGAAGAAATTTATATTAATTATATCTCGGTACCGACATAAGATTCTAGTGCTTTGGACTCCTTTAGCTCTTATTCTGGTCTTGATTTTTAGCTAATAAACAATGCATGTTTAGTTGTCATTCACCTGACATGTTTCCCCTGAAAACTTTATATATTGTAAGGAAGCAGTCACAACTAAGTTTTCTATTTGCAAGCTATTTGCTAACAGCTAAAATTGGGAGTAATTTTCTTAATAATGCATGAGGTTGATATCAGTTTATGGCTTTAGGCTACATTGATTGATAGTGCGATCTCCGAACCGTGCAAAGATTTACATTTTTAGAATGATTTGGAAGGAGAGACAGTTTTGGCACCCCCTGAGTTTTGGTGTCCAAAGCTAATACCTATTTGGTCTTAGCTTCAAGCTGTCCCTGTACAAGGAAATGATTCCTTTTTTTTCTCTCGTAGGTTCGAGAATGGAAAGCAGAAGGCCAAAAAACATACATGTGCACAGGCCGTCCTGGCTGGCTTACAATGTCTCTTCGTATTGGGAAGTACAAGAAGACTCTAAAGAACATCACAATCAACTTGATGGATATTTTAAATGTAGACACTGAGCGACAGGTATTTTGGGAATTTTCCAGATGAGATTGCTCTTGAGCTGAGGAAACCTAGTCAATATGCTTGCTATGAGATTGTCATTGTTTTCTTCCAGGATATTTTTTCCCCCAGCACTGCAATTACTTCCAGCTCTGGACTTCTGGTGGTCTATGTTTTCTAGCTTTATAATAATCCTTCTTAAGATGCAATGACCAAACTGTAGATGATCTCTTAAGTGTGATGTGATCCTAATTTTCATAAGGGCACTTGCTATAGTCAATAGCTGTATTTTCAAATCCCTTCCTAACGATTCCAAGAATAGAATCTGCCTTTTTTATATAACAGATACACAGTGAGTTGACATTTTTCATCATGCTGATCACTATGATGTTAGGATCGTATTCCTGATCAATCACTTCCAGTTCAGATCCTATTACTGTATATGTTGTTGTTGTTCAAATGCAATCTGATGGGTGTTATCTAAGCCATAAAATGTGTTCTGTTGTAGGTTGTTCGGGTGGAACCTTTGGTCTCAATGGGGCAATTAACAGCACACCTGAATCGTATGGGCTGGACTATTCCAGTGGTACCAGAACTTGATGATCTTACAGTAGGTGAGAAGCCTTGGAACATGGAAATAAGGACTATTCCTTTTATTAAACTCAGTCATAATTTCACATACGAGAATGTTAAGCATAAGAAGTTCCATGCCTATATGATTTCTTTTGTTTTGCTTGCTGTAGATTCTCTTGTTCTGAAATACTGTTCTGTAAAGCTTAGCATGTATTTCATCTCATACTTAATTATCGTCTCTTACATAGGTGGTCTGCTCATGGGAACTGGCATTGAATCTTCCTCTCATATCTATGGATTATTTCAGCATATCTGTGTGGCCTGTGAGCTTGTTCTTGCCGATGGCAGCTATGTGAGATGTACCCCGGTAAGAAATTATATTCCTTTGTCATGATTTAAGAAGTTATGCCAGCTCTATTTTGAGTTGCTGCTTAGTGTGGTGTGCTTTTTACAGGACGAGAATTCAGATCTGTTTTATGCAGTGCCTTGGTCCTGTGGCACATTAGGCTTTCTGGTTGCAGCAGAAATAAAAATGATCCCATCTAAGAACTATGTGAAATTACATTATGAGCCCGTGAGAGGACTGAAAGCCATCTGCAAGAGATTTGCTGAAGAATCAGAAAAGAAAGAAAATCATTTTGTAGAGGGCATTGTGTATTCTTCGGAAGAGGCTGTCATAATGACTGGAGTTTTGACCAATGAAGCTGAACAAGAAAAGGTAACCTAACTTTATTATCCTTGTCAAGTGAAAAGGGACACAGGAGACAGAATGACAAAATTGTATTTTATCTGTGGAAAAAGCAAGTTGTTTCTTCTAAAAACTAGAGAGTCCATTTATACTGTCAGTGCGTATTTATGTATTGTAAAGACTATGTCTCCCCCTAGAACAGTGTTTCTCAAATTTGGCAACTTTAAGATGTATGAACTTCAAGTTCTAGAATTCCCCAGTCACTATGGCTAGGAAGTCTATGCATCTTGAAGTTGCCAAGTTTGAAAAACGTTGCCCTAAAATTGTTTTCTATTGTTCCATGCAGAATAATAATTTTAAAAGTCCTGTAGGACAGGCGTATGACTTTAAAACTGTCTCTGAAATAACTAGATCTAATGTCTCCAGCAAGTCAACATCTATGCTGACAGGGGGACAATCGAAGTCAGAAATCAAGTTAGAAAAACCTAACAAATGAATTAAAACATTCTTAGCTCTTTGCAAATTATAATTACGATATTTGTTAAAAACAGTTGAATTGCAATTGCAATATGGGAGGAAAGGTTTGACATGATGATTAGAAGGGTTCCAGCCCAGCAGGCCTTTTCATCCTTTGATGTCTGCATTCTTGTGAGTGAGGTACATTTAGTGTAAATGTCCAGCATTGGCATACAGAATAATCATCATTTGTAGAAATGATACAATGCCAATATTAGTCCTATACAATCATGCATTCAATGTGGTGTCAAACAAAATGCATTGCGTTTTTGGTGCATTATGTCAATAATAGAAAGTTGCCTCATTCTTAAAACACATCTTCAATTAAACTGTAACTTTGTAAGGCTATATCCTTCAGCAGAATTACATTTTCATTATCTCCCTGTTCTTTCCATTAAGGTCAACAGAATTGGGACATACTACAAGCCATGGTTTTTTAAGCATGTGGAGAATTATTTGAAAGCTAATACCACAGGAACAGAATATATTCCAGCAAGAGATTATTATCATAGGCATACAAGGAGCATTTTCTGGGAGCTCCAGGTAAGTATCTACTTGTAATTTATTACAATGTGGATACCTGAGACCAGCTTTTCTGTCAGAGTATCCTATGGATAGTTTCTCTCTTAATTATTAATTCACTCTGCAGATGTATATGGCCACCCATCTTAATCAACTAACACTGGGTGGCTGACAAGATTTAAGAAACAACAACATATAGTATATATAAAAACAGTAAAAATAAAAGCACTGGGAGAGATATGTTTTGCAGAAGTCTGAAATGAGTTTTGGAAAAGAGCTGGGTGAAGCAGCATTGTCTTTTCATTTCATTCTCACCCAAGTAAGGTGGCCAAACTGCTTTGCAAACAAATTCTTTGTTTGAAGCAAAATGCCCATTTGAAGCTTTGAATACCCTTAATACCTAATGCCTCTCTTTTCTCTCTTCCAAGACAACAGGCAAACCTAAACTAGATGCCATGTGTAAAATGTTAGTTGGCTAACTTGTTTGGTCATTCAAGCCAGTAAATAGTTCATGGCCAAAAGGATAGAGAGGAAGAATTAGTATCTATGATAGTGAATTTAATAGTCCTTGTGTAGATAAGGTCTACTATTTTTTCTTAGCATTCTCACTTCATCTAGATCTGCTGCTAATCAAGAATCTGGGATATCAGTTCATGAAGATTTTTAAAACAAATGTTGGTATTCTTTTTAAAGGGCTGGTTGTTATACCACCAATTAGCTCTTAAAGCTTTTCCTTAAATCTTCTTATTCCAATCCAGTATAATCTTGACAAATGTATAAATTGATCATTCAGATTTCTAAAGTCACTAATCAGCAAAAGCAGAAGAGCATATAGAAATAGAAACAGAGACGTAAAACAAGTACAAACGGAGGAAAAGACATGGTTTCCTGATAAAACAAAAGATGAATGAATAAGGGAGAGCACACCTCACCCTACTCAGTAACTAGAGAAAGAGCCAGGCCTTCAAACCACATTCAGTCATGGAGAATTTATTTAAAAAACTGACTAAAGTTGCTGATTTATGTAATTATACTGATTAAATCTTTCCTTTTCTTATTACTAGCATTGTTTCTGTTACAGGACATCATCCCATTTGGCAATCATCCAATTTTTCGCTATCTCTTTGGCTGGATGGTTCCTCCTAAAATCTCCCTTTTAAAATTGACTCAAGGCGAATCCATGAGAAAGCTCTATGAGCAGCACCACGTGATACAAGACATGATGATTCCCATGAAGAGTCTTGAACAATGTATTCAAACCTTCCACAGTGTCATTAAAGTAAGACCAACTTTCCTAAATCCAAGAACAGGTCATGGGAGCAGGAATAAGATTAGTTTCTTACTTAATACATGAAGATCATTTCTGTAAAACCCCAAAATAAATGCTTGTAGTAACCTCTTGTATCAGTGGCAGGATTCAGAAAGCACAAAAGTAGCTTCCATAAAATGAATAAAATAGAATAGCAACAGCATTTAGACTTATATATTGCTTCATACTGCTTTGGAGCCATCTCTAAGCGGTTTACAGCATTTTACCCCAACAATCTGGGTCCTTATTTTACCAACTCGGAAGGAAGTCTGAATCAACCTTGAGTTGGTCAGGATCGAACTCCATACATTGAGCAATAATGCCTGCAATAATGCATTCTAACCACTGTGCTACCATGCATCTTTTCCTCTTGATTTCCGTAGGTTTATCCCCTATGGCTGTGTCCATTCATCTTGCCTCACAATCCTGGAATGGTTCATCCAAAAGGAGATGAAGAGGAACTCTATGTAGATGTGGGGGCCTATGGGATGCCCCAGACAAAACACTTCGAAGCCATGGCATCCACCAGACAATTAGAAAAGTTTGTGAGGAACGTTCATGGGTAAGGATCTAAACCTTGGGAAAGAGTTGTTTCTAGTATGAATACGAGTATGAGAGCTCTCTAGCAATTGAATTCTTAGTTACCCATGATTGCTTCCCATTATCTTGCTATTTTGTACAGTAGTTCAACTTTGGTTCTGCAGCACAATCGCTGGAACACACAACTGAATGAAAGGCTTGGTTGGTTTGCTAGAACAAAACATGAACTAAAGGCTGACTGAGTGGCTTGCCCTGTTTTGCAGGCAAAGGTTATTGCTGCCTTCTAATGCAACAGCTGTTAGATCCTTCTCATTTCCTTTAGTTTTCAGATGTTATATGCAGACTGTCCAAATGAAGTCAGAGATGCTGACAGAAACTTGTAGTTTTATATAAATAAACATATTTACATCTATATTTGCCGCAGACAAGATAGTCAGGAATATCACTAAAACATGACATAAATTGTCAGGTAAATCACAGAACAGCATACAGAGCAGACAGAAGAAAAAGACGGGGAAAAAGAGGAATTCCCCCTTTACACCCAGCAACCAATCATAATGTAGATTGCCTCATGCAGGAGCGCGCACTCTCCAACCAATGAACTATAACTGTGTGTTCTGGCCTATTATACACTTTACTGTTCCAGCTATTAAATTAAACATCTTAATAGTCATCTTCGCAAGAACTCTTAACATCTTTCTCATTTCCTTTAGTTTTCAGATGTTATATGCAGACTGCTATATGACCCGCGAAGAATTCTGGGAAATGTTTGATGGCTCCCTATATCACAAACTGAGACAAGAGCTTCAGTGTAACAAGGCTTTTCCTGAAGTGTATGATAAAGTCTGCAAAGCCGCAAGACATTAAGTCCAACTGGTCCATGAAGCAACTGGGAAAATTTGGGTCTAAATAAAAACTATTTCTTCTGCTCTTTTCAAAAAAATAATCCCTTGTTGCTACTTCAGAGACTCCATTTAAAATGTGAAATTTAGAAGAAATACTTCTGCCTTTGTATGAAAATATAATTGGTAGTATTTGTCTTAAAAACGTGTATGCTTCTTTATCTTCTTTCTAGGAATTTCCATTTATGACCACTGTGGTTTAATGATAGCTTAGGTATAGATTGATATATTTAGTAGAAGGGGAATAGAAAAATCAGAACCTTAAAATAGAAGAATAACATAGAAAAAAATGAATGGGAGATGTATGCAAGGTCTGCTAATACAGATGTACCATAGGCTCTTTCTGAGAGTTGTGCCAAATAAAACTGCCTTTCTAATGTCACAGTTGCCTATATCAGATAAGTTTCTTTGCCCAGGGTTGAAAAGTCATAATTTGCAATAAAGTTATAATTATAACCTGTCTGAACACTTTGAATACTATGGATTGGAGACTTTTTTTTAATTAGTGTATGTTCTTCTCTGTGTCTCTCATTTTGTTGACATTTTTTCTTTGACAGTTTTCATTAGTTTTATGTGCTGCAGGAAAAAAAATACTATTACAGACATGTCCCTAGGAAGAAGACAAAACTTTTTAAAAGCCCCCCCCCCTTCTGTTTATAAATGTTACCGTTGGTTTCTTTTTTTCCTTCCAGTAATCTGTCTCTTGGATTATGAATGCTGACTCAATGGTTTCATAATGTATTTCTCCAAAGTACAAGTTTGTACTTCTGTTTTAATAGTAAAGAGGGCTATCAGTAATCTGATATAAATAGCAAAGGTATTATATGCATTGTCGTGTCTATCTACTTTATGTTTATTTTGTTCATGAAATTCATGGTAAAGGTAGTCCTTGACTTACCTCAATTAAGTGCAACATTTCTCTTGCTAAGCAAGACACTTATTAAATGGCTTGTCCCTCATTTCTTAGCACAGTTGTTAAGTGAATCACTGCAGTTGTTAAGAACATGGTTGTTAAGTGAATCTTACTTCCCCATTGACTTTGCTTCTCAGAAGGTTGCAAAAGAGCCCCTGGACACTGCAACCATTGATATGAAAACTAGTTGCCAAACATCTGGCTTTTGATCACAAGACCATGGGGATGCTGCAATGGTTGTAAGTGTAAAAACGGTCATAAACCACTTTTTTCAGTGCAGTTGTAACTTTGAACGATCATTAAACAAACTGTTGCAAGTCAAGGATTACCTGTGAGTGGTGGTGAAGATTTATATGATAGATGGTTAATTATTATAGAAGAAGTATTCTTCCCCCACTCCTCTTTCCATTGTTACTGTTATAGGATTTGTCATATTTTTCTTCTACTCAGATTGTTTAGTGCCTTAGATCACCTGAAAGAAACTGGATTGTTTTAGGCCTTCTTATTTTCAGGAATACAGTAGATGTAAGAAATGCTTGAAAAAACTACTTGGAGGGTGGATCTCTTTAATCTCTTCCCACCTAACACTTAACATTACTGGTAAAGACAGTGTTGCTGGGAGCTTTCACCATCAGACATGCTACTGATATATCAATTTTTATAATTATCTGGATGTTGTTGATAATCGAAACACTTGAAACAAAACTGCGTGGAATAAATAATAGTATTCTGAATTTTGTCCCATATTGTGTCCTGCACTTTGGAATACTTCCAATTCATATTTCAGATTGAGATAGTTTATGCTCAAACCTTTTTGCATATCCTTCTGCTTTTTGACTGGATTGACAATAGATAAGCTAGAAAAGTATCTCCTGCATAAATGTATTCCTATAATTCAATATTACAGCAAATAGGTGATTGGCTAGCCCTAAGAACAGTTGATGATTACACGATTTTAAAGGGTTTTTATTTGAGTTTTGTGTATATTTTAATGTCACTAATATTAACCAAAATTGGATCCAAGGACTAAGATATGCACATTTCTAACAAAGAAATAATTATTTGTACTTAGGGTAATACTTTGATGTCACCTATAATATCTTAACATCGGAACTATCTATGAGTTTTAAACAGTTGTTGGAGAGATTGGTTTAGACTGAACCAGTAAGATCAGAGATTTCCAAACCTGGCAACTTTAAGACATGTGGACTTCAACTCCCAGAATTCGTCAGCTATGCTAACTGATGGATTCTGGGAGTTGAAGTCCACAAGTCTTAAAGTTGCTTGGTTTGGAGACCCCTGTTTTAAACTAATCCAGAAATTGCTCATATCCATGTTGAAATTTAAACATTCCTTGAGAGAAAAACTTGCTTACAACTTTTCTAGTGCCTTCCCAGACGTCTGAGAACCATTCCCATATGGTGGAACTTGTTAATATCTGCATAACGACAGCAGAGCATCAGGCATAAGTTCAATGCAGAAGCAAAATCAGAAATTAGACTGGGCTCTATTTATGTGTAATTTCTGGAACGTGCTCAGGTTATACACAGTACGATAAGTAAAGTGGTACCTTGGTATTCATGACTAATTGGTTCCAGGAGGTGTGATGCATACCAAAAATAATGCGTACCAAACAAATTTCAATCATAAGGAATAATGTAGTGAATCACATGTCAGCTGATGTTGACATGTTCTAGCTTGTGCGTTGAGTATTAAACAATGAATACCGGGACAACATTTTCACCTCAAACATGTTGAATACAAATTCAACTAGTTTCAAAGTAGTTGAGTATCAAGGTATTACTATATCTGCAAGTTTGATTTTTGTTGCAACAATCCTAGCACACTATTCCAATCATGCAGGTAAATATAATAACAGCATCAGTATACTTTGTTTTGCAATTGTCAGTGATGTTGTACTGCTGCACTTGGGCAGAACTTGTACTATTTCCTTATAATTACAGCTATGGTGTGCCTGAATAAAATTGTGTTGACAGTATTTTTTTCCCCATTATTATACTTCTAATACAGGGGTGAAATCAACTTACCTTTGCTACCAATGTGCAAATATGAGGATGCACGCTCGCTTCACTCGCACGTGCCACCTCCGTGCATTCGTAGGACCTTCTGCATAGGTGCAAAGTGTCAAAAACGATGTGATGACATCTGGGCGGGTGGGCGGAGCCTCCTGCCGCCACCGCTACTGGTTCACCCAAACCATATAGAACCAGTTGAATTGCACCACTGATCTAATATCATAAGTCATTTGGTGCAGTGGGATTCATAGGTATGTCTGGATCTGCTATCATTGCTGTTAGTTAATATTTAAATTAGAAAAAAGTTGATTTCTTATCCTTGATAAAAAAAAATTATTGATTTAAGGCACAGTCCTAGGCAGAAATGTATGAGATTAGAATGCCAACACTAATTATTTGTGCTGTCAGAAATACTAATTAGTGGACTTTCTCTGGCTGTAACCATCTTACTCCAAACTCCATTATTTTCAAGTTTGGATTCTCAAAAAAATTTAAATATATTGAGAATAGAAATGTGCTTGGTTCCCAAAGATGCTTCAGTAGACTCTTAATTTTATTTCTACTCCATATCAAATATAAGTAATCCGAGCCCAAAATTTCTGTTCCTAAGTTGTTAAGTAAATTTTGACCCATTCCATGACCTTTCTTGCCACAGTTAAGTGAATCACTGCAGTTGCTAAGTTAGTATCACAATTGTTAAGTGAATCTGGCTTCCCCATTGACTTTGCTTCTCATTAGGTCGCACAAGGGGATCACACGACCTTGAGAGGCTGCAACCATCATAAATACAAGTCAGTTGCCAAGTGTCTGAAGTTTGATCACATGACCTTTGGGATGCTGCAACAGTCAGAAGTCTTTTTTTTCAGTGCCATTACAATTTCGGTTATTAAACGGACTCTTATAAATCAATGACTAACTGTATTACTTAATATTTTAAGTGTCTGTGGGTTAAATAACAAAGTGCCACAGATATCATTCAATATTAAGTTTCCAAGCAGTGTTGTTCAATCTTAGCAACTTTAAGATGTGTGGATTTAAACTCCCAGAATTCTCTAGCTAGCAAGCTCCAAGGGGAAGCATGAGAACAAAGGAAGGGTACATTCAAGAAGTACACATGTTTATTGGGGATTAATGTTTTCTCCTAGGCGCTGCTTGGAGTGTCCAAGCACGAGTTAACTTCAGCTTGCTGCCCAAGGAACTGAGTTTTAAAATTGTTGTAGCTCCGCCTCTTGGTTGTCTCAGAGGCTCAGTTTCAAAAAACTCAGTCGCCCTATAGGACGTTCTTGTCTGGGCTCCAGTACTTGGGCATTGAACTGGATTCCGGTTTGGTAGTTTAGTGTAGTTTAGTGTAGTTCCCTTTATTTTTTAGATTTCCTTTCTAGTCTCCTTTGTTCCTTTATTATTTCTTGTAAGGGGATAGCATTAGGAAAGTCCTGTCTTTTAGCCTCCATCTGAGCCCCAGACTCCTGAGTCGCGCAGACAGGCTCCCTGGAGCGCTGCCAGCCCCAGGGCTATTCGGGCAGCTCTCCGCATCGGGGACTCGCTTGGCGGCCGCCCTTGAGTCCAAGGTGTGATTTAAGGCTAGGATCCCCCTCGCAAGAAGCGCTAGGCTCCCCGAAGCCAGTCGCCGCTCCAGGAGTGTGCGCGCATGAACGGGCCCAAACCTTGCCATGCAGCCTGTCCGAACGTGCAGATCGCCGTGGAGGGCCGCCGTAAGCACAGGGCCTCATTCTGGATGACCAGGCAGGCTCTCTCCCTCCTGATCNACAATGATAATACCAAGACAAACAAAAATACAATAAAAATAAATTAAAACAAGCAAGCAAGTAGAAAGAAGCAATAAAACACAATATAAACCACCTAAACACACTGCATATTCATTTAATTGTTTAAGAGCAATATATAAAACTTTACATTAATCTTTATTTCTTCTTGTACTATATTATTAAATGTATGCCAAATGCTAATAAGCTATTTTTATTAGTGAGAAAAATAGTTTCTTTCAAAATGAATGAACACATTTCTTGAATTCACACTTGATATGTGTAACTTGATTAGTACTTTTCTAATTTCTCAAATGATTATCTTAAGTGTTCCCCATGTTTGATACAAGCAATATTTCTCAAAATGATTGGATTCCATGATTTTGGAGTTATAGTTCAATACTACATTCATGTTTTAAACTTGAAAATATTTTTCCCTATATCGATCAAATCCAGGCATTGGGATTTTTAGATGGTTAGGGTTGTTTAAACTTTGTAACACTAAGAGTCACTGTTGATGTCACTATATAAATCATATAAACAAATAAATATATAATATTGCTAATATTTTTGTAATATTTTTCCAACTCTCCACATCAAGCCAGATATGACTAAATAGTATTCATTGATATACACTCATATTTCATTTATTACAGTGAAAATCTAGAATCTGTTCTTCCTAATTCATTCTTTAAGGAATCCAATAAACTCAGAATAAAATATGTTAATCAATTAACTTTAACTCCAAAGAAGCAAACTTCACAATTTTTATGATGTTTCATTCTGTTATTGTCATTCTTTATTCTATAAATAAGGAATACCAGCAATTTCAAATTTAAATATTCAGTTTTTTTTCATTTTGACATTGGTTTGATTTCATAAACAGATTTCATAGAAAGGGGAGGAGGGCATCTGGATAGCAATAGCACTTAGACTTCTATACTGCTTCACAGTGCTTTACAGTCCACTCTAAGCGGTTCCAGACTCAGCGTATTGCCCGCAACAATCTTGGTCCTCATTTTCCCAATCTTGAAAGGATGGAAGGGTGAACCTTGAGCCAGATGACATTCGAACTGCCAAATTGCCAGCAGTCAGCAGAAGTAGTCTGCACTACTGCATTCTAACCACTGCTCCAGTACCGCTCTTTATCACACTCAAAACATACTTGAGTTGATTGTAACGCCACTGAGAACATGTTAGGTTAAGACAACTTTTTCAGAAGTTGTTGAAAATCCTTTAAAATCATCATTGCAAAGTAACTGGTTTAACGTAACTGTTCCAGAATCAGACCATATAACCTCCATCTATTTTTAGAGTAGATAAAGAGT